ATATATATATATATATATATATATATATAATTAAAATACTAATTAAATATATATATAATTATATAATTTAATAATACATTTATTATTTAGTAACGCAATGTTAAACTATATTAAAAAATTATAAGAAGAAAAAAACAAAAAACCTAAATATTTTCTATATAAAAAAATTATTTTATTTAACATTATATATTATAATAATAAAATAATATATATATTTAATTATTTTACATTATATAATTATAATTACATATAAATATATACCATAATCTAGCAATATGAATAATCTTGATTTATTTATGTTAAATTGTATAAATTTGTTTCCGCGCGCGAATCATGATTAATCAATACTATCGTTAATTCTTAAACGTTAAAAGTATAATCGAGATATACAATCTTTCTTTCTTTCTTTCTTTCATTTTCTTTTTCTTCTTCTTATTCTTTTATTATTAAATACACCCCAACATAACGAATATTCCTACTCTATATTCTCATTTTCGCTATCAACGATTGCATTAATCAAGTGGACCGAGCGGCTAAGGCTTTATGCAATTATGGATGTCAAAGTGTTAAGCAAAAGAAACATACAGACACACATACACACAGATTTGATTCACTCGTTCATTTTTAAATAAACGTTCATTGCCTTCCCTTGCTATCACCAACCCCCTTTTACCCCTTTTTTTCTTTTCTTTTATTTTTTTTTTATTTATTATTTGTTTTCGATCACACAGATCGTTATTATTCCAATCCAATTAAGCCTGACGTGACATTATCTTACCAAACTTTACACGTCTCAATATATTTTTCATTTTTCTTTTTATCAAATATACTTATAAACATAAACACATAAATACATACACAGAAAGTAAAAATTGAAACTTATTCAAATTTGACAAAACTCTTTTTATTTTGGTATATTATAATTGATTAATATCAATTTTATTACATCATAATTATTTGATCTTGAACGATTTATTTTGTTCATAATTTGTAAATACATAAACGTGTACATGACAGTATATATATATATATATATATTGTGTTACGAGAATAATCTATTTTAATTAAAAGATAATTCGTGTTTTTTTTTTTTTATATTTATTTAGTATTATACGGTATTTTTTTTTTAAATCTAATTTTAGTAGATATATTTAAACTTTGATAAAATAAATTTTGTCTATATTTCTATTAATACAAAAAAAATAAAAAAAATCTTATTTTTTGACATATAAAATTGTTGATTTATTCTATGTGATATATGATAATTATATTTAATGGATAATAAGAATTTTATTTGTAATTTATAATAATAAATTTGAAACGTTGATTTATTATATATCGAATAATATATAATTTGTATTTTTAATAGGATAAAAAAAAAAAAGAATTTCTTATCAATTTACATTACATATCTATATATGTATATACAATATATAAGACATTTCTCTTAATAAAACCAATAATAAAAATATATTTCCAATATATTATAACAAGCATATTATCTGTTCAACTTATCAAACATGAAAGACGAATATGTTAGCAATGCGTTAGAGATCTTGAAATACAATCTGGATCTTGATTTTCAATTACGCTAGTACGATTCCCTTTAACACAATGTTCTATCGTACGAATCACGTTTTATCTTTACGTTTCTACGATAGAAAGTTTATAAAAATGACATTTACAAGCAACCTACTACCTTGATTTCTCTTAACTCCGGGGAACGGAAATTAAAATTCAAAAATGATAATAACGATAAACGAGGGAATAACAAACAAACAAACAAACAAACGAACAAACGAACAAACGAACGTACGAACGTACGTATGAACGAATGAACAAATAAATATAAATAAATAATAAAGAAATGAACTTTGAAGAGAACTCTCCAACGAGTTATTTGTAAATGTAAAGCGTCGATAAAATCACAGCGTCGGAAGGAACGAGTCGTAGGGTCTAATCGGCTTTGCAATTAACGTACGAGTTTCCAATTAACGAAGCTCCCGCCGACCATCCTGATTTCGTTTTATTTTTTTATTTTTTATTTATTTTCTTTTCTTTTCTTTTCTTTTTCTTCTCTTTTTGTTTTGTTTTTTTTTTTGTTTTTTTTCAAAGTACGTAAGTAAGAAAACTGATTTCTCGTGGGTGCGAAAGGAGAAACTTATTCAAACGGCATCTTTCCAACGAACTCGACTTACTTATTATCTATCGGCTAATGTTTTAATTACGATATATGAATATATATATTTTTTTTACAGCGCCTCCCCCCCTCCTCCTCCTCCTCCTCCTCCTCCCCGTCCAACCCCCTTCCACCCCAGCACGTTCGAAGTTTATTTATAATTAATTGATGGGAGGGGGTAGAGGGGTAGGGAATGGAATGGAATAAGGCAAAAACGATTACGACGTATTATTTCGTTCTTTTTATCTTCCTTTGTTTTTTTCTTTCTTTTTTGTCTTTTACATTTCATTTTGGTTCTTTCCATCTCCGCCATTTTGAATCGCTGTAATCGGCCATTTTGATGCAATTAAGATATACGATTTAGTTTTTCTTTTTTTTAAATCTTTGGATAAATTTAATGTATTAAATTGTTAACGAGAGATTTGTTAACAATTTGACAATTGTTAATGAATTCCTTCTTTGATAATGATTGAACACGTGCTACTGGCATAGAAACATCGAAATATTCTAACCTATGATATCCAAGTAGTAAGAGAAAAAAAGAACCAAAGTAAAAATGACCACGGGAAAAAAAAAATATGAATTTCCAGATGATTAACAGTCGGAAGTAAATTTTTTAACAATAATTTTCAAATCTGACAAGGTAGAAAAATGAACAAAAAAAAAGAAAAAAAACAAACCTCACGTAAGAAAGTAAAGAAAGACTGGGGTGTTTAAGAAAAAGGGATAAATGTCGAGATTTACTTTTGGAGCTTGATTACAGCAAAAACACGGAAACTAGAAAAAGGGAAACAACGAATTAATGAAAGTAACAACAAATAAATAAAGAGAGAGAGAGAGAGAGAGAGAGAGAGAGAGAAAGGAACTAAAGAAAAGGGTGAAAGGAGATATGAGAAAAAGGGAAGGAACAGAAAAGGGGAGTCCATAAGTCAGTATACGAGGCGGCACGAATAGTCTGAGATATCCACTGAGGAACGATCCTGTGCTGCCTTATCCTTTGCCGATCTGGTCGGATATTATAGGTCGATGAATGTGGAAGGGAGAGAAGGTTCAAATAAAACTAACGAAAGAGAAAGAGAATTACTTAAGTTAAAGCAAGCGAACAAGCAAGCAAGCAAGCAAGCGAGCAAGCAAGCAAGTAAGCAAGCAAAACTAAAAAAAAGGCAAGAAAAAAGCCCAATAAAAGACTCGATGAAAATCCCAAAGCAAAGGTAAAGTTTTGGGGCGGCGTCTGACGATACCTTCCTTGTGCACGCGTCCTACCTTCCCATCAGGGGCGGGAGGGGAGGGGAATCGAACCAAATGGAAGAAGGAAAGGCCCCATCCTCCCTCCCGTGTTTAACAGAGGGTCTTCTTAGGTAGGTGTAGTAGAGTAATCGGAGTTAAACGCGGGGGCGTATTGAACTCCGCCTCCAAGGATTTAACTCGAGCTTTAGATACGACATAGTAACGCCTTCTTTTGACCGGTACCTCCTGTTTTAACAAGACCCAAAGTTACGTGTATAAACCTAACTTATAGCTCGATTCTTCCCACCTCCAACAGCCAACTGAAAACTCCCCCTTTCGCGTTCAGGTTATGTTAAAAGTCGTTCTTTCTCTCTTACTCTTTTGTGGTTTCTTTCTTTAACTTTACCGTCAGACTCATCGCCATCTCCTTAACATTCGGTTAAACTCGGTTAGGTTCGTTCACGTTCGTATTAAGTTCTCCGGCCTCCAGAGGTCTACTCCGGCCTACTCCGGCCTTATTCAGCCCTACCCTCTAACAGGCCTTTCTCCTTCATCATTTTCTATCTCTCTCTTTCTTACTTAGGTTTCGTTTCACACTCTTTTCACAAGCCAGCCCCAACTGCTGCTACGAGAGAGAGGTGACTGTCCAGGACAGTTTCTGAGCTGCAGTCATCGACTGCACCACGTCCTGTGCTCTCCTGCTGCTGGTGCTGCTGCTGCTGCTGGTGGTGCTGCTGCTGCTGCTGATGTTAACGCTGTTACTGCTGTTTTTAATACTACTGTGCTATTATCATTATTATTAACTGATATTATTACTGTTATTGTTATTATTATTTCTTTCTTTTGTTTGTTTTTAATTCTAACATTGGAAATAAATAATACAAATGTTCTTTGATCATATCTCGTGAATAAGTTGCAATATTTCAATCTGACGTTTTGTTTTTATACGTGATTATGTTTAAATAAAAAGAAGAAAGAGAAAGATAAAGAGAGAAGGAGACTAATAATAGTAATAGTAGTAAATAGTAGTGTATCATATTGTTTCAAGAACGAGATGGACTCTTATTGGATATATTCAGGATTTTGTTTTATAAATTAATTGTGATTACAAGATTATTAAACAATACTCGGTGTTCTTTTCCTTTTTTTTTTTTTTTTTTTAATATAAACTTTGTGGGTGTTAAAAAAAAGATACAGTGATTATAATATCTACGATTGGTTTTATTTTGACATTAATTATAAATAATTATTTGATTAGTGGGGAAATGTGATAATTGTGATAAACTGTTGATAGTTATAAAAAAAAAAAAAAAAAAACTGATATCTAAATAAGAGACATCATCATCAGTTATCTAAGATGACCCACTATGAAATTGGACATATCATCACAGGAGTGATATATTTGAATTCTTCATTGTAGATATTTGAACAACGGAACTTGAATAGAAATAACACTGCGTCATTTTTTCTGTTGTTTAAATTTACAAAAATTACAAATTTGATGATATGGAAATGATTTAAAAGAAAAAAAAGAAAAAAAAGACCAAAAACAACAAGAAGAAAAAGAAGAAGAAGAAGAAGAAGAAAGTGAGAAAGAAAATATCAATAATATCGAGTCAGTGTTTATAAATTATTTAAAGAAGAAACAAATAACGGAGCAAATATTTTAGGCCTAAGTTTCATACTAAATCATAAAGGAAAGGATATTTATTATTAGTGAATCTCTGAATCAAGAAAAAGTGACTTATTATCAATTCAACATATACTTTCTATCGATAAATCAGATAGAATTATCATCGATCCTTGGTTAAAAGCTTGTCAACAAACCTACTGGAACGAGAATGACGAGTTTCGACTGATTATACGTAAGTTTTGTTTTGTTTTTGTTTTTTTTCTTAAAAATAACTATTATAATATTATATTATTATTTGTCATCCTAACGATCCGTGACTATCTAAATGATATCGTTCGCATTGTCAGAACATATGACAGATTTTTATCGATAAGTAACAATTATCTTAAGAACATTTTGTTTTAATGTTATACATTAATGTCATACATGTATATATACACATCTAAACGTAAAAGTTTATAGATACTAATGTGAAATAAATTATTAGAAAGTAACTAATGCAAATTAGTATTCCAATCTTATAAATAATGATAAGATGCGGTGATAAAAGAATATCAAATGATGACCAAAAGATTTGATTAACGTTGTTGTTTTCTGGGGGGGGGGGGTTTGTATTTTTTCGTTTTCTAACAAAATTAACTTGCGACCAAACAAAATTGCAAATTTTCTTTTACTGGTTTAAATTAATAATATAAAAAGAAATAATAAAAATTGTCGAAATTTTTACGGAAAAAATTAAATTATCGTCGAATTAAACGAATTAATTAATTTTACAATATAATTTAGAAATATGATTATCTATCTTAATGAATAAAAAATATTGCATCGAAAATAATCCAATGATGAACAAAATTTTGCCAAAAATGTGCCTACCTGATATCTAATAAAATCAACAAAAATAATAATAATAATTGAAAATTATATTAGAGAACGTTATTACAAAAATAATATCTGGTTGTTGGGAGAGACTAAAAAGAATGAACAAAAATTTCCCCTCCAAAAAAAAGTATGATTCGATGATGAAGAAATTTTGAAAAGTTCGCCATTCTTTTACTTAAAAAAAAAAAAACAAGAAAATAACAAAAAAAAAAGAAACCAATTATTTATTTCTCTTTTTCTTTAAGTTGCTCGTTTCGGTAGCCCTTGTTTTTAAATATGCGTTGATTCGGAATACACCTTTACTTTCCGGCGGCAATTTAAAAAAAAAAAAAAGAAAAAAGAAAAAACCATTAGGCCTTTGAAAAAGGCCAGTTGCGAGTAGTCGTCCGCCATTCCTTTCGTTCGAGAACTGCAATAAAGATTAACCTGCTACCTTTAATCTTATAGCTTTAAAAAATGAAAAAGAATAAGACATAAAGAGAGAGAGAGAGAGAGAGAGAGAAAGAGAGAAATATTCTGCACAGTGAGGGTTATACTTGTAAACAAAAAAAAAAAAGAAAAAGATATATCGAAAAATAGGGGGTTAAAAAAAATGGTATTTCATGAGAAATTCATTTTCCCGCCAATTTCGAATTGGCAATCTCGCATTGGACGGTCTCCGCGCCATATTGAATTTCGTCGCGAACGAAATTATAGGTTAATGTTGCTTATATTTTAAATTGAATCTTCTTCGTTTTGTTTTGTCGTGTTTCATTTTTTTTATCTTTCTACTTCTTCTTCTTCTTCTTCTTCTTGATAATTAATTTCCTCTCCTTTTCTTTTTTTTTTTGCTTGTCTGTCTGTCTCAGTTTTGGTTACAGTCAATAAAATCGTTAATAACGCACGATTCCACAACGCCCTGTTTAAAAGCATTATCTCTTAGCGAGATAATTGTAATCTACATAGAATATAGAGTGCCTCTTTTTTTTTTTTTATCTTCTTTTTTTTCTTTTTTTTTTTCCACGCATACCTGCATTCTTAAAAGCTTATCCTTTGTAAACATTCTCGGTTACACTCTTTAACGTTGTAACGAGCATGAGAAATTTTTCAATGATGCTATGGCACGCAATTTTTCGTTGAAAAAAAAAAAAAAAAAAAAGAAAGAAAAAAAAACGTAGTCTTTTGCCATTATTCACGATTAATGAAAAAAAAAAAAAGAAAATTACTAATGTGATAAAATATTATCAAAGAGACAAGGTTAGTGAAATGAAATTTGGACAAAATGTTTATTATCAAAAATTATAACATATGTATGAATAATTATACGTATTTAGAACTATATTTATATATGTATATTGTTTTTTTTTTCTTCTAGATATTACGTATCTAATATTATTATATAATCTAATAAAAAGAATATAATATTTAAATTTATCTATGATCAAAAAACTGTTATTTAGAATTTACAAAATTTCAGTTTTCCATGTATATATCAAACTAAGCCTAATTTAAAAACGATAAGGTACCACAATGATAATGCAATATACAATTTTCGTCTAATATAATTAGAACATGAACAAATTCAACACAATTTCTGGCATATATTATTATTTTGATGTATGACAAATGTTACGTATAATTTAACGCAATTTAAAAAAGGAAAAAAAGAAAAAGCATATTTATACAAAAAAAAAAAAAAACAAAAAAACAAAAAGAAAAAAACGATAAGAAAACAAAATATATAAAACGACAATAATATCGTTGAAACATTAAAGGATTTTCAACATAAATTTCTCCATTGTAAATCACATTTTTTAAACAAAAATTCATAAAGTACACAAAACAAACGTGAGAATTCAAAATTTAATAATTGAACAATCGTATTACATTTAATGTATAAAAATACTTAACAA